TTGTAGCCAAGCCATGCTGTACTTATACACGACGAAATTTGCGAACCATTAGTTTTCACTTACACACGGAAGCCTTTAGTAAGTTCACTTCATAAGCATATTTCAGACTGCCTTGTATGTTGTTTTTTTATTTAGAGGAATTCTAAAGAAGTGTGTGACCGTAAAATGATAAAAATTTAATTTTATTAATATCCGTATTAACGGCAACAATCGTGTCACGTTATTAAAGCTTTCAAACGGAGGGGATTAAATAGCTCGTAATTACAATGGCGTAATTACTGACCCGTTTAATGAGTGAATAATATTTTGAAAACGTTAAAAACGATTATATTTAGAAAGTAAATTTTTATTAATTAATTTTATCACTTAATGTTAACTTAGCATTGAATAGTCTACGGTTATCACAGTGTATCTAAAAGTGGCAACGTAATGATTGTTGCCACGCTAAGTGATAACTAAGTGTTTATTTGCGAGGCAAATAAAAGATAAGATTATTCAGTTGCATTTCAAAATTGAAGCTGCATAGCTCAATTCTCATACCTTAGATAACATTTTATTTCAGTGGGTAGGATTTATGTCTTCATAAGTCAAATAGTAAAATTTCTGAGATGAATTACAATATTACAAAGGAAATAGCCGAGTTCGTTATTACATCTCAAAATTCTAAATTGAACATTGAAGGTAAGTGCAAATGTTTGTACATTATAATCTTGAATGTTTGGAGCACTCGCTGAGGAATACCTAGGCTGCAACATTTATGGATTTTTTCCTTTCCAGGTTTTAACCTTGACAAGGCGACCTGGCAGGGACGGTTCAACAACGACATAACAGATGCTAAAGAAGGCCCATCACAGTGCGGGCAATGGGAGTCGTAAACAACAACTTCAAATTGTAGGAGTAGGAGAGAGAATCAGGGGAGAGTCAAAAGCAAAACGGTCGAGTTTCTAGTGATAAGCTAATGTGGCAACTCCTGCCCTTGTAAAATTTAAAAGAAGAAAAGAATGTATATTGGAATGAATTTAATAACAGAGCAGAGTGTAATAAGCAGTAATTTAAACTTCGAGCTGAAAATGAAGTAAACTAAATGAAAAGATAACTATACCGTTCTTGTGAGTCTGAGCCTGATCCCGCTGAGCATACCCCAGCACCAGGAAATAGGCAAAAGCCCTCACAATAAATAGGAATCCAAGGGTACATAGAAAGTGGTTGGTCCAGCAAGGGCGACAAAGGAACCAAAAAGTTTACATATCAACTTGCTAACTGTATATAATGAAACGACTAAGCAATATCATTATTGTCTTATTACCAACATGCAAAGGTTGGTAAAAACACAATACACGCGAAGCCACATCGAAACAGTTTTGTGATTTGTGCCAAACGTTTTACACCTCGAGTGAAACCCGCCATAAGGAAGGTTGACATGTGTATTTCCATCAGCGGAAATAGTAACCAAGTTTAAAAATATGGAAAAGAATATGTTGCCGCCAATAATCATATATGCTGATATAGAGGCTGTGCTGGAGCCCATAGAACTTCTTGACAGGAGCGAAGGGACGAGAACAATTCAACAGCATGAAGCGTGTGCAGTCTCTTATTATGTTAAACATGTGTATAACGAAGAGTGTGATGAACAGTATACTTTTGTTGGTGAGTATATAACAAATGTTTTTGTTTTTCATTTAAGTAACTAATTGAATCTGGTTATTTATTTCTTATTTGTATTAGGAGAAACCTGCACAGCTAAATTTCTTGCTCATATGCAGCGGAAAATGGACGACCTGTGTCAGTTGTATTGGACGAATTCCGCAAGCCCTAAAGAACTATTGCAAAATCAGCAACCAACAGAGATGGAAAACACTGAATGCTACGCCTGTGAGGAAATAATTTTAGGATATAAAGACACTATATATAAAGTACTATAGTTATTTTACAGGGGAATTTGTGGGGTTCATTCATAGGGAATGTAGGATATCTTTTCAATTTAAGCGACCATACTTTGCCATTATCTTTCATAATTTAAGTAGTTTTGACATTCACCTATTTATCACAGTTGGGGACTAATTTCTCAGTTATACTTTGTAACAAAGAGTTGGCACACAAATTGTGCAATGCACATCCGTCGCATTACTTACAAGGAAGCGGTGTTGCCAACTTACAACAAGATGGCACTATATTGAGTAGTATCATCAGAATTCAAATAGTGTAGTCTGAATTTAGTGTGTTGCACTGAGGAAATGGTTTAATGGTTGCGCAAACTATCGTCTTTGAGATAAACAAATGCCTGAAAATAAACGCGCAGACGTTTTGATGGAGCCATAGTTGTCTCTTTTTATGTAGTTTTGTATTTCTTATGTCATTGCATAAAGAAGCAAGTTAGTAAAAGCAAAGAAAAGATTAGGACCCCTAGGCTTTCAGCGAACGTGCCAAATTCCTGACAAAAAAATGTGTAATAAACATTTACAATTAAAGTCAAAAAAAAAAATTCTAGAAACCCAATCTACATAAAACAGAACAAAAACAAAAAAGAAGTTGAGTACCCCGACTCTACCAGACGTGGGTTGTAGGCACGGATTATGCTTGTAATGGCCGCGAACAAACCTTGGGTAGAGTGTCTGTAGGTCTGTGTCAACCACAAATATCGCAATAACGGCATGCCGTTAGGCAAAATCGTGTGATTTTGCGGTATTCCTTTTTTTGCTTTTACAAGAATAGGCAAAATCGTGTGATTTTTGTGGTACCGTTTATAAATCGCATGATCTTGCGGGATATAATTGTTTTGTTCTTTTTTTCTTTTCCCTTTCATTAAGATAGGCAAAATCATGTGATTTTGCGGTATTCCTTTTTTTTGCTTATACAAGAACAAGCAAAATCGCATGATCTTGCGGGATTTTGCTTGCTTTTGCGAGAGTAGAGGCAAGCCGAGCAGATAAATAAAACTATTTTTAAAATTGAGCCTTCAAGGGCAAAGAAAGAAAAAAAACGTCAAAAGACTAACAGCAACTAATGTGAGAGATCTTTTTAAAGTTCGCCTGTAAAGCAGAAACGACCTTCATATCAAAAAGAGTAGGAAAAAAAAAAGGCTCAAAATTTATTAAAATTTTTGAAGAGTGATTGAAAAATGTCTCTTAACTAAGGCAACAAAGGGGCTAGTACCGTGACATGCTTTCATATCCTTACTAGCTTCGTTGCATGGCAGGCATAGTTTTGGATGGGCTTGACGTCTCCGGTTCGTATCGCTTCCTCTTTCAAAATACACACTCTCTACTTTATGTCAAAGAAATGTTTAACTCCTCCCCCCTCTCGTTCCCAAAACAATAGATATTAGACATAAAATCCCTGCCTTTATCCAAACATCTCGAAATGATTCTTACAGTTTCTCGGCATCACTTGAAGATGGATTGCCGAAAATTTAGGCAGCTGCATTTTAAGCCAAAAAGTGAATAATATCCTGGAAAGCTATAATAGATAAACTTACAACAAGCATAACACTACATCATATACTCTATACGGGGTAAATGATGGCATCAGCATTTCATATTTCAAATAAATGAAAATTATAAATAAAATTAGGTAAAATTTATAGTATATAAGCAATTATATATAATGTAGGCTGAGCATGCTTTGGCACTTTAGGAACTTCAAAAACAATTAATAATTAAATTCTATAATTAGAGAGCGATGCTCTTTGCCGAATTTACTTCGACAGTTAAAAGGGTGCTAATCTTGGCGCAAACAGCTTAGCATTTAGGAACATGCAGCCGTTGGGTTCATAGAGAATCCTCTGTCACGCTACAGACTATATAAGATTTTCATCAAGTCTATTTACAAAGATGTAAAAAGAGCTATGTTGCGATTAGAGCGAAACTATTACTGTCCTTAACAATTTTTTCTATTTCTTTATCACAAACCTCGTATTTAAGCTACCGTGAAGGCTTAATTCTGCCCTATTCCTTTTTTATATAATCAATTACACTTCTCTACTTACTCCGATTAACGAAGCTCTCTCTCATTCTCTCTGACAGTCCGTCTGCTACTTGTGAATTGGAAAACGACTACTTCGCTTGTAGTTTTATGAAAATTGAACCTTTTGAAAATTGAACTTTTATGAAAATGAGTATCTAACTTAACCATATGTACAATAAGTAATAACTAAAAATAACTGCTTAAATGCTTGTTTTAACAAATAGTGCGACGTGAAAAATACGTACAACATAACACATTTTCAAAATCATTCGATTTTCTCTTTTAGAATTTTCTTAAAAACTAAGCCTATTGCAATAAAATGAACACCGGAAAAAAGTTACCTGGAAGTTGCAGAAAGTCGTTGCGAAGCCATATTTCGATGAACCCCTAATGCAAAATTCTTGATGTCAGTTGTACACGAAAGCCGCTGATAGAAGCAGTAATGCATGTCAATAAATGCGACGATTGTGGTGGAAATCTTTGTAGTATTAATAAGATTTTGAAGGAAGCACCTCAGCGTGTCTGGCAGTGTGACGAATTTTTATTATTTCTTATATAAATGATGGCAGTAGTACAGTTGTTTGAAAAGAATTGATAATGCCGTTCTCTTATCTCCTGAATACCATGATAACGATTTTGTTATTATCATGAATTAATTAGATCGGCATTATTCGTTTTCGATCCAAAATAAATTGCTACTGCTTCTCTTTTTACAAGAACCACATTTTCTTTTAAGATAATTCTGTCACAAGCAGTTTATAGAATTCTTCATAAAAAATGTCACTTGGTCCATTAAAATCAATTCATACTAGTAGTTGTTAGAAGCGTTAGTAATTGCCGACGTTTACTCTTCGGCGCAACATACTAAGAACTTTTATCTGAGAATAGAAAAATTTTAAATAAATTTCTGTAGATCTTCGGAAAGTGTTGAATTCTAACCTTAATTTTTCAAATCTTCTTTGAATTTGGTTTTTCGCAAATTAAAAGAATAAAGATCTATGTAATAAGCGCATTTTGCTTCTACTTCTCGTTTTAAAGGGTTCACATTTTCTTTTACAAAATTTCAATTATAAACAGTTTGTCGAGCTTTGCGTGAAAAACGTGAGCGCATCATGCCACTTCAACTTGTTATATTATGGCGATTACCATAAAATCCGAAAGCTCGCTGCATTAGTTATTCATGTACTTAACCTTTATTTTTCGTACTTCATCTAAATTTTGTTTGAGTAGATGAATGTGTTATGCCTGCAGACAACAATACCAATACATCTGGCAGCGTGCCGAGTTTCTATTATTTATGTAAGCGATCGCAACAATGCCGGTGTTTCTGGAAAGGATTGATGACACCGTTCTCATATCTTCCGATATTATTATTAACATGAATTAACTAAATCGACATTTTTCAGTTTCAAGCCGAAATAAATACACCTTTTACTCCTGTTTCTCTGCTTACAAGATTTATGCTTTCTTTTATGATATTCCAATCACAAGAAATTTATTGAATTCTATGCGAAAAATGTCATTTCCTCCCTTAAAATCAATTCGGGATGGATTACATTCAGAAAAGCAGAAACTTCACAGCTTGCAATATTAATTCATATATATAATATTTTTAAATATTTCATCTGAAATTATGATATTTTAAGGAAAACTTAATTAATTAATTTTCTTCAACAATTTTTATTTACCCAAAGCCCTTAGCATGCCGGCAACGCGCAATGAGTTCGCGCCTTAGTAAAACTGGATCCCACTTAATTTACACCGCTTAGTAATTCATGTCGACGAACGCTTATACTTTAAAGTGCCTATAAAAAGGACAATAATGTAAGAGCAAGCAATTTTTAAACTTAATCATCCTCCATGCTTTTATTCAAAAACTAGATTGTTAAGAAAGAAATCTGCACAAAAGTAATACGGCTGACTTTCATACACAGCAAACGAAGTTTTAAGACATCCGACAGGAATTACATTAGTGTGTGAAACGAACGGAATTGAAACTAGTAGAGGTGTTTTTATAACATTCATAAGAGCAGTCACATTTTTTTAAATATTCCACCGATATCACGCAATTATATCTATAACAAATGTTACTGGTTCATTGGAAAAATTAAAACAGAGCCAAAAATAATCAAGGCAAAGGCAAAGTTTTTACGGAAATATATATTAGGCGCATTTCTTCAATGTAGATTTGTATCTCATAAAAGCTTTAGGAAACGAAGTAGTCCATAATATTACTTTACTAATTGCCATATATGCAATGCAGATATTTAGTACACATTTTATAATTTAAATGAATTACTTACATTTGATAAGCGTAACTTATAATTTTCTCGAAGCAATGTTAAATTTTAATTTTCCTTTCGTCGATATGGTGTTTAAGCAAAACCATATGTTATTAAAAATCAGATCGCGTCTTGTAATCAGAAGGGTAACCGTGTACTGGAAGTTAGCGTCTGCTTTCGTTTTTCAACAGGTTTTGCTTCACGTATGGGACAGCATTCAACATTGTTCGATAACTTTAGTTTCCTTCGTTTCACGTTCCCACGACTGCTATTAGACTCACGGCTTTAACAAATTCCCATGAAAATCTCGTTTAGCGTTGTACATGTAAGAAACAGGCGCTCTAGTAGAAAAATAAAAAAAAAAACGGCTTGTTCATTTATCATTGGAATACCGTGCGAATAAACAAATTTTACTAACTTCAACTTTAAATTTATTTTAGCTAAACACCCAAAGTCATTTATTTATTTCTAATCATATATAGCAGTTGACGTTATATAACATAAATTTCCGCTAATCTAAACGTATAAGTCGCGTGTCATTGGCATTGGTATTTAGCGTATTTTAGTATTCCTATTTTATCATATTCCACAATAGAAGCAAATGTTTGTACACTAATTAGGAAATCTTAATGGTCATTGGTTTAATGCTCAGTTTGTAAGAAAAATATCTACAAAATATATAGTTTTTAGAATTCTCTGCCGATCACAACAAGTGCTCCTCTTTTACAAACAACTACTTCCATTCCATTTTTAGAACTACTTTTCGTCTTTTTATTCGGCTAAATTATAGAGATGCCAACATCCCACATTACTGTTTTTGAATTCTTTTTGCAATCAGACAATTTATTAAGGTATTAACTTAAAAAAACAAAAAAAGTTGAAACTCTTCAAACGACTTTTATTTTGACTTTTATTTTCTTAGTTGCTTTTTTGAAAAGAGCAAATACTAAAACACTTTAAAAAAATAATTTGTTTCAGAAATTCTGGATGGTCATCATGTAAGTAGGTGTTTATCGTTGTCATTGTCGCCTCATTTTTTTAGGAGACAACTGATTGTCGCCAAGCGGCTAATATCTACTAAAAGAAGGGATTCTTTTTATATACCAAATTTTTAAAGAGTAAATTTATGTTATATTAAGAAAAAAATAACTTAAACCGTAACTAAAACGATTATTTAGGTTCACATAAATAACAATAAAGCTTATCTGGTTATTGTAATTGCTGAAAGTGATAGTAAATAACTTTCAAAATTAACAAAAATTACCATGTCCTTATGCTATCATGAAATTCACTTGTTAAAACTACTCTGCAATATTAACAAAACATATTTTAAAACAATTTTGCTGCGAAATTCTTTATTAGTGCAACGAAGATCCTTAAACATGACTATAAAAGGTTCTTTTATTTGCTTTTAAAGAAATTATCAGCTAAAGGTGTGGCGTAATTGGGGATTCCATGCAATTGTCGGTTTGAAAATAATATCTTCAAATATGAAACGACGTGAATTAACTCTTAGAAGCAAATCTTATGCTAATCATTATTAAAAACTAACATAAAGTTTATAAAGAGGAGTAAAGAATAAAATGCATGTATAAATAAATAAGAGAGGAGACAGAGAAAATGAAAAAGAATAAAATTGTGGTTAAAGTATATCAACTATATATACTGTGTATGTTAGTTTACTGTTAAGTTTTGAGTCTAGTAAGTAAAATGACATGTGAGAGTAAGCGTCTGAATTCAGTAACATCTGAGAGTAAGCGTCTGTATTTGTTTACAATTGAGAATAATTCAAAGAGTCAGACTATAAATTTGGTAAAATGTGAGAGCAATTATTATATACATTATTGGCTTATCGGCAGCCTTGTAAATTTGAATCAAACGAAAGGCAAGAGAACAAGCAAAAAATGATAACGTTCTCAAAAAGGTGTTCTGATCAATCAGTTGGACATTCTCTTTTCCTCACCCTCTCTTTATTGTTAACAGAAATGTGGGTACCATAATATTTCATAAAGCAAAAAAAAAAAACGCTAATTTAAATAAAAATGAAGAGCAGTTAGGCGATCGTTTATCGTTTAGCGCATGCGCATTTGGCGATAATCGCCAGCAAATTAGGCCACATGCTCCTCTTGCTTACATGTTTACCCCCTGAATTTTTTAACTATTTTTTTTTTAAAGTAACGTGGTATCTTCCACATATTTCATGTTCCCACGAACTCTGTAACATATGTATAATATATACAATCTATTTCTTCCTCTTTTACGCTGTCTCTAACAACCATAATAAAGTTTAAATACACCATGTAAATTGAATTATTGAGATTATAATACGCTTATTCTCGTATCTGGCCAATTTTTATACGCTTATTCTCGTACATGGCCAATTTTTATACAAATACTTGAACAATTATTCAACAAATGTAAACAAATTCAGAACTTAGGAACGACACATTTTAAGGAGAGTCGATTTAATGGTACTTGAGAAATTACTAAGACTAAATTGAAGATCAAATTGTCGCTGCAAAGGACTGTGGACGCATCGAAAACTTCATAAATATATTTACACTGGTTAACCTTTATGAAAATAGTTTGTAGAAGAATGGTTGGAAACACATAGCAGTTAGTTTCTCCTTCTAAGCCAGAGCCAGCGAGATCAAATGTACAATTTATAAGGATGTGAAGGTAAATTCGAATTTAACTGGCAGACATTTACCAACCCCGTTTACAAAGGTTTGCACCTTTTTCGCTTACATTTTGCACTTTGTAGAAGCTACGCCCACGGTTTTACTTTATTCGGCTATTATTTTATTTGAGATGTGAACTTTTCATTGCATTTTATCCCTTGATTTTTTGCTTTTCAGTATTGCAGTTTTGTGGTTCAATCCTTTTGCTTTCTACCCCTCTACTATTTCTGTTTCATTCAACGTTGTGATAGCAGTTTGACCGCTCCATAAGATGCTCTGCATTTTGCTATTTCTTTAACTGCACCTTTCGAACTTATGGTACGGAGTGGTGTCGTGTCTAGTTTATTGAAAAAGTGTGGTCGAACGCAAGTGGATGGAACAGCCTTTTTAGGCGGTAAAAAATGTGGCCTTTGAATTGATTACATAAGGTATTGTGCAGAATGATAAAAATGTAATGTGTTGGAAAAAATCGATATGTTGCCTATGTGCGTAAAATGAAAAATAAATTGCTAGCTAGCCCGGTGAGCTTAATTTTAAAAGTCAAGTTAGGGATTTCCTGTTCTACTTGACCAGAAGTTTGCAGTTTTTGGTCGATCTTTTTGAAAGTTATTTATGGCGATAGTGGTGGATGGATATTGGTGACATGTATGTTAATTAAACCCGTTTAATATCTTTCCTGAAATCATAATTTTTGACTCTGGAGACTTTAGCGCGTTGTGTGCAATGAAATCGGTCTGCTACCCCGGCCCCGATGGTACACCGTTATGCATTCGTTTCTGTGTAGACTTACTGTATGTTCATTTAAGTTTTCAGTTGATTGCATTAAGAAAGATTACGTCACAAAATTGTGGAAACAATCTTCCGTTATATTACTTTACAAGTGTGATCCTAAACATCTCGTAATTAATTGCTGAGTTGTCACTATGTTTAGCGTCATTCTGAAATTGATTGCGTGGTTACTGAGACAGAGACTTGAACCGCCTATTAGATTAATTATCCTGCCGGCATAGCACGATTTTAGCAGAAGTTACTTGCAGCAAAAGCATTGTCGGCAGAAAAACAAACAGATGTAATTTATATCGATTTTCCAAACGCGTTAGATAGAATGCCAAATTCTCCTGTCCTAAACCGTTGGTCCGCTCTTTAACTGGATAGAATAGCTTGGACCGCATATATCTGAGCATACTCAACGCATCCTTTATGGCGCATAAGAAGTATTGAGGGTATGGTTTGAGCTGCTTCAAGGTAGCCATCGTCGTTCTACACCTCTTAGATTATTGATTTATGAGTTTTCTTCATTGATAGAAAGTTCAAACTACCTAATCTTCGCCGATGATGTGAACATTTTTAAATAATTTAACTCAGTTATTGAGGCTATGTTATTACAACACAATCCTACTGAGATGTTTGATTGACGTAAGCAAAATGCTGCGTCCTTAAATTTGAACAATTGCAAAAGATTAACGCTCTCAAGGGCTGTCAATGCTGTCCATTAAATTCTTTATAGGCCACCACGGGCTAGGTGGGGTTTCACTCTTCAATGATTTGCGAGTTCCCTTAAGTCCAAAGTTAAATCCCATATATTTTGTTTTAATTAAGTTGGCTTATTGTCAAGCGAATTATTAATTGTTTCACGCTTTTAGAGTCATCTGCTTAAACTCTGACCTGCATTGTAATATGTATAATAGCTCCTCTTTATGCATGTTATTTTAGGCAAAGGTGAAAACGAAGTGTTGCCAGACAATTTTCCGTTGAATTTGTACTAAAATGGAAGTCGTTTTGGATTTTGAATTGTGTAGATCTACCTTGTCGTATAAACATACGTACTTCTATGTCGGGAAAACGTCACTTATGGGAAACTTTACTTTCTTTAGAACAGGATACTGCGGCCACATCCTTTCGAATGGTGAACAGTGGATGTTAATGTCGATGACGAAGCTAAACATCTACCACGACTACATTTATGGCGGTCAACTAGGTGTCATAAATTAGAGTTTGTTCCAAGCAAATGGTACCATCATTAAGAAGTGCTATCAACAACAATAGAAATGTCAGAAGTCTTGGTAACGTGAGTTGTCTGTACAAAAAAATTCGGTCAGGAAATATTTGCATTTATAATTTGGAATGTTTTACTACTTCATAATAACATCGCACGGTGCTCTCACTTTTATGGTGATATCGAAATATGGGTTATTTTGTGAATAGCCCTGAAAGAGCAGTAGAGTTCCCTCCAAACGAAATTATATCAATTCCTACAATTTCTAAAAATTTGCAGAAGTTATTCTTAGGGAGGACGATATAACGAATAGTAAATGTATAACCTGTTTTTACAATAAAGTCTCGAACTGTGAAGAAACCTTCCAACCAACAACTCTTACTATTAAACTTTAGAATTTTTGCACTAAAGTTAAAAAAATTTTTTTTGCATATGAGCAACCATTCATTTGATATCCCTTGCACCTGCAGACATAAGGGTGGTCAGATAGGTTATAGGCACAGAAAGAGAAGTGGTGTTTGTGGACCTTTGACTTAAAAGTGGAAACATCAGGTATGAGATCTTTGCTGGTAGATTTCTCAAAAGGAGGCTAATATATCGTGCGGTATGTAGACAATCCCAGAGCAAGTTACTAGCAAAAAACTTTTAAGAGATCGAAGCCCTTAACTGCATCTTTCGATAGTCTGAGTATACATTCTGTCCAACGAACATCAACAAGAGTTGACCATTCTTTACATTGACATTACTAAAGGAGAGGGGCTGTTCATAACTTCCTCTATGT